ATAAAGATGTAAGGAACCATCACTAAAGAATTTCCATCACCAACTCTGCCGTCTTTCTTTTGTTTTTTCTTACAAAGTTTCATTAGATACGGTACCTGGCCAAGGTTGGTACAATGTACGGGGAGATTGCACCAGAGGGATTATACTACTGTTTCAAAAACAACCGTTTGCTTTGCACGACTATGCCTTAGAGTAATACTGAACGATGTAATCAGATAAAGAACTACATTTTAAATGTCTGTTGAATGGCCACTTTTAAAATTGAGTTGCTGTGACTTTAGCCTTAAGCATTCTAACAATGCTGACTGTGAAAGGCACGATAGTCTAGTGGTAGGACGCCGGGCTCGTGACCGAAGGGTTGCAGTTTCGAGTCACGGCACTGTACGTGTTAGTATATCTTTGAACAAGATACTTGACTCCGCTTGTTCCAGTCTGCTCAGCTGCAAGTGAGTACGTGGTTTGGATGTGCTAAAATTGTTGAATGCCAGCCGTGAGCGCCGAAATTGCAGCACCGGCTGTGTGCTCCCCATAGAGTTGAGAAAGATATTGGCTGGTTGCAAAAGTCCTATAACCACGGATAATAATTTGTGAATCGCTTTGAGACGACCTACAAACTAGGTTGTGAAAAAGCTGTATATAAGTTCCTCGAATTATAATGATTTTAATAATGATGACCGTGAAGGGGTTGAATATGTTTTCAAATACAAGCATTACGTAAGTTGGTGTAATCCTAGAAGTGTGTTTATCATAATGTCCGAGTGACCAACCAATAATCAGATGACTTCAAGGAGACCACAGCTGTTAACTAAAACCTGGATATTGGAAGTAGAGTCTCGCATGGTTTATTTAATCCATTACCATACTGCCATACCGTGCATTTATGGGTCTTATATTTGATAGTGATACATTTTAATACACTCAAAATGTATTCGAATATATTTTTTCTAATTAAACGTAGCTACAAATGATTGAAACACATAGTGTAATTAAGTACTTAATTATAATTAGACATGTACAATCGTTAATCTAAAGGACCATCATCTCTCCCGACAATTGTGTTTCTGACGCTATGTCACATTGCTGCAGAAAAGCACTTCATCTGTTTCCTAGTCAATTTCCGTTGTTTGGTAGAGCTTTCGTGACGGGAATGCGATCTTTCCATTCATAAATTCGTGTTGCCTGTGATATGCCGTGTGCAACTACCACCTGTCAAATACAATAGACTAGGCCGAGCTATGCTGGGAAATTTATTGATGTGATATCGTCACAGATCCCCAAAACACAACCAAATTAGCTTGTGTATCGTGGATGTCCTCTAAGTTTTCAACAGGTACAAGCTGAATTAGTTCAAATATATGTATTTTCATAAACATAATTACTAGAGGATAGGGCACAATTTATTTCAGCATTGCAATTTATTTTCAAAACAATTTGTATTGCCCAGTAATGGCACAAGTGTTCCATTTCAACTGCAGGTTGATGGCAGCTTAATGTCACGTTTTTGTCATCTAATTTCAATATTATCATACTGTATTGTCTCTGTTGCAGAGTTTCCTTTTTATACATAATTGAAAGATTTCGATAGTTTTCTTTACACGCCTTGTAACAACTGTGAGAAAATGTTTGAGTCGCTACAGACATTTAAATGTATTTCTTGTAACTGAGCGAGATCGGGTTATCTCATTCAGGGGCTAAGATTTTGTAACATATTCCCAACCAAAGCGTAAGCCGATTTTGGGATATTACAGAGACCGAGACCTAGAAAAATAAGTCTCTCAACCCCTTGGGGTTGAGATCATATACATAATGTACTGTTAACGTCACAGGCTAAATTCAGGGTTGGCGTGACGTTGATGGATTATTGACGTGACGTCATTGTCTTGTTAAAGTGACGTCATACCATTGTTATGAATAGGGGAATCCCCCGTCTCAACTTTAGGATGAGACAAGAAATTCACATTTTCGGCGTTGCTGGAAAATTCTATTCAACCCACGGGTCTAGATCGCTTACACGCGCAGACTGGCGGGGGAATTAAATGGACCTTTCGGGGTGACGCTATTGTTCGTGACGTCATTTTATGACATTTTGGGGTCAGTCAGGGTCATTGACGTCATAAACAATTGCCATCCGTGCTGCATATGCAAATGATAAAGGCGCGGACAGTTTCCAACTTAACTAGAAGAGCAGCTGTTTTACGGGTTTTAGGTAATAAGCAAGAAATAGAATCCATCCCTGATGTGAGGTAAGGATAAGGTAATTGAAACCCTCGGGATAAAATATTGAGCAAAAGACCCTCGGCAAAGCCTTGGGTCTCCTGTTCCATATTTTCCCCTTGGGTTTGAATTACATTATCCATACCTCAGAACCTTTGGCTCAATTTTTTATCCCGAGGGTTTAAATAATTGGTATACCAAAACCCCCCCGCCAGTCTTTGCGTGTAAGCGATCTAGACCCGTGGGCCGAATAGATTTTTCCAGCACCGCCAGAAATGCGGATATATCGGTCTAGTATGCAAGAATTATCAATCTTTCGACAAACCATTCTTTGGCAGTTATTCTGACTGCAGATATGACAAATAAATGTTGCACTCAACTTTGATCCCTTAGTCCATCTTAAGAGCAAGATACACGGGCTACGTATGAAAACAACGGAGATATAAAGAGTTCACTGTATTAACTAACCCAGAAGGTTTTTGTTCGTGGTTTAATGTCTTAGCAAGTGGCTATATGTGAAACGTTTTAACAATTTAGAAACTATATTTAAGTTGGAGCATGAAGTAGTATGTATTTCAGTCTCTTTGTAACACCATCTTTTAATGTTTTTTATATTCAAATTGTTAAATTACCATTCTTTAAGAGGTTCTTTGGAAATTTATCTTTATGGTGTATTTTCTAAAATTCAGTTAACTACATTGCGATTGAGAAAAGAAAATGAGCTCGTATCATGAACCTGAATATTCAAAGTTATAGGCCTAAATCTAACCCATAGTCTCACTCAAACAAGAGGGTTCTAACTCTCCGTGACAACTTGCTCCTCCCTTCATTTTAGTCTTGCATCTTTATGATAGTTGTACTTTTATCCCGACTGTAGGGCGCCTTCTGGCTGCGTAATCAACAAAGGTGCCCATTTGTTGTTATATATTGGTCTGTTTTCATTCGGAAATCGTTTGGCCTTCACACTGGTCGCCAGTCGTTACTTACCTGCAGTAGAGACGTCCTGGTGGTCGAGGATGTATCGACCGGTTAAACGATTTGGGACACGCACAATAAAACATTTACTCGCTTTGTGTACTAAGAGTTATGTCGCCTTCTTAACTGGACGAACTAGTGTTCCTACGGAAGCGCCATACGGAAGTTTTATGGAAGCCTTCCGGTACAATTTAAGTTGGGTTTTTTCAACATCATAGAATAATTTTCATTGGCTGAAGAATTTATGTTATCAGCCCATTAAGTAAAAAAATGACGTCGCCGTTTGTAACGTCGCTTTTGATTGGCTGATATAGCGGCGTAATAATTTTTAAAAGAGAAAAGAGTCCATCAATAAAAGTGGATCTCCACAGGGATTTCGTAGAGTAGATTAAATTATAAGGATTGACTTGAATATATTTGCTGCGCGGTTTCTTTAGAGTACACTCCGTTTTTTGTGTTATTTCTCCATAACATAAAAAATATATTCAAGTTATTCCTTAAATGAAGCTCCGTTCGTTGGTTTCTAAAGTCATATGTTGATACTTTTAGCATCATTATCACATTTTATTTATTTATTAATTTATTTTATTTCTATCTCTTATAAACTTGCCTGTCACCTTTTACAGGGACCATGCTATTCTTCATCAGTGTCGTTGCGCTGCTGTATGAAGTAATCTATTCATGATCAGCTTGCCTATAATTCAATAGATACACGATATATTTCTGTGGCAAAACATCTAAATATCGAAAACAACCCTGTCGTTTATAAAAGCAATACACAATGAGCTTTAGCGTCAATATGCTCAGTCATTTTTAAACATAGATACATAAAATTGTACATATCTAGATAATGCTCTAAATACATAAACATATGGGCCTTTTTTCAATACACACAATATGGCACGATCCTAAAATTCGTTTCAGTGTTTTCCCGAAAATGTATGCTATCCACATTTTGATCCTATTCAATTGAGTAAATTATAGTCATATTCATTTTAAGAAATGGCATTAGGGCAACTGTTACACTGCCAAAAAGTAATTGATGATTTAAAACTGTTTTACCGGCATAACAATAGGTTTGATAAATCATTTCTGAGAAGAAATGAATACGTTGCGAAAATTGTATACAAAATTATTATAGTAAGCATTCAATAGTAGTGTTCCTAAAGTAGATAAACAGCCGTCGTAATATATCAACACACAATAGTAAGCGAAACCTTTCGATAATAACTTACAGATTGAAAATTAAGTTCAAATCGTTACTTGTAATGACAATAAAAAAGTGATGTGAAATAGACTTGTACATGTAGTTGCTCTAAACATTGTTCAAGCCCCCACAACACTTTAAACTTATGTCTTAAAATGCATTCGTTGTAAACAAATACGTAAATTTTAATCAAACTAATGGAATCTCATTGATTTATTGTTAAACACATTCACTAAATCACCCTTATTCGTGTTAAAATCTACTTTAGTGCGGTTTCTGGAGTTAACTTAATTTGTAAGCCAGACTGTTTCTGCCATGGATTTCACTGTGAGGCGGCTTAGTTAAATGTTGTAGAAACCAACAGTGGTAATAAGATATTTTGGTGAAAACAGGCACATTTAAACATGTTTAGCTCTATAGGCCGTTTTTACCGATGCTTTCTAAAAAATTGCATGTTTACCGGCACGTTTTTATTGGTCATATTTAACAATTATTGGTAATTCTATTACAGGCGTTACTGTCCTTCGGTTGAAAGCGCGTGACCAGCACGGTTCGATTAGAATTATTCGTACACATCCACAACACAGCAGATAGCAAACAGGAATCAATGTCTACCGTACATGTAATCTAAGCCATTGCCTCCAATGTGACGGCATCGCTGCTGTGAATCCTCCGATACAGCCAAGACACTGTGGGAGACCTATGGAAACTTGGGTAGTTGTATCTCGTACAGTGAGGATTGAAACAGCGCTGGAGTTACAGTATCGTGAAGACAACTTTCGTTATTAGCATAAGTGTTGATGTATTTTGAGTTTACCTATATGTGCTATAGTTTCACACCTGTTAAATGAACAGGTGATGCAGTACACGTGTAATGACAGTTGAGGAGCTACAGGTGTGAGAAATGCTCGGTATGAAAGAAATCACAGGTGTGTGAGCGGGACCATCAGAAACTGAAGACAGATTGATGTGTTTAAGTTAAATGTAAATGTTATTACGGAACAAGCATAGATACTTCTGAGGATACGGAGATAGTATACAACTTTCCAACTAAAACCACACGTGTCTGCTGTCAAGGTAAGATGTTCTGTAAAATCGACATTTTTCGGTAAAAATAAGTTTAGAGTGATACAGAGCATAGATTTGGAAAATATTTTTCACCTTTTTGACACAATCCTTCGTAATGTACACACTAACTCATTATAAACCAGCACATTGGCTTGTCTTTATTGACATATCAGCATGCACGGTAACACAATGAGTGTCATAGACAGTATCATTTTGTTCGATTTGAAGAATTCAAATGTCAGAAAATGAGTCTCATAATGCGAAATATAAATCCATTTAAGTTTTCATCTTCAAAGTATGAAATCAGATTGAAATCGTAATGGTTCTGACAAACGTTTATGAATATTATGAGTTTTATGTTCCATATCTGTGTTGAGAAAAGCAATTACCAATTCTTATTTTGATATTTTATAAAGTCATATCGATTTCAATCTTATCTCTTTATCTCCTTAAAATATTTACCTCTTTACTTTTTATCACATGTACATGTATTTCATAAAATTACCATCCTTTATAAAAGCAAAACACATCGTCAGTTCATAAAAGGTTATATGTTTACAATCCTTTGATCACGACCAAGTTTACAGTCATATCGTGTGTACAAAATGATGTCTGAAGCTTGGCGTTGTCTAATACTCGTTCCTAAAACTGTCCCAAAGGTGTCTAATATTTTTCCCGACGGTGTAAAACAATTGTCCCGAAGGTGTATCCCATACTCGTCCTGACGGTGTCCCATATTTGTACTGACGGTGTCCCATACTCGTACTGACGGTGTTCCATATTTGTACTGACGGTGTCCCATACTCGTCCGGACGGTGTCCCATACTCGTCCTGACGGTGTCCCATATTCGTACTGACGGTGTCCCATACTCGTCCTGACGGTGTCCCATATTTGTACTGACGGTGTCCCATAGTCGTACTGACGGTGTCCCATATTCGTACTGACGGTGTCCCATATTCGTACTGACGGTGTTCCATATTTGTACTGACGGTGTCCCATACTCGTCCTGACGGTGTCCCATACTCGTCCTGACGGTGTGCCATATTTGTACTGACGGTGTTCCATATTCGTACTGACTGTGTGCCAACTCGTACTGACGGTGTTCCATATTCGTACTGACGGTGTCCCATAGTCGTACTGACTGTGTTCCATATTCGTCCTGGCTGTGTGCCAACTCGTACTGGCGGTGTTCCATAATTGTACTGACGGTGTGCCACATTCGTACTGACGGTGGCCCATATTCGTACTGGCGGTGTTCCATATTTGTACTGACGGTGTGCCACATTCGTACTGACGGTGGCCCATATTCGTACTGACCGTGTTCCATATTCGTCCTGGCTGTGTGCCAACTCGTTCTGACGGTGTCCCATATTCGTTCTGGCGGTGTCCCATACTCGTACTAACGGTGTCCAATATTCGTACTAACGGTGTCCAATATTCGTACTAACGGTGTCCCATATTCGTACTAACGGTGTCCAATATTTGTACTGACGGTTCCCATACTCGTACTGACGGTGTGCCATATTCGTACTGACGGTGTCCCATATTTGTACTGACGGTGTGCCATATTCGTACTGACTGTGTGCCATATTCGTACTGACGGTCTCCAAAATTCGTACTATTGGTTTTCCATATTCGTTCTGAAGGTGTGCCATATTTGTACTGACGGTGTTCCATATTCGTACTGACGGTGTTCCATATACGTACTGACGGTGTGCCATACTGGTACTGATGGTGTTCCATATTCGTACTGACTGTGTTCCATATTCGTACTGACAATGTTCCATATTCGTACTGACGGTGTTTAATATTCGTACTGACGGTGTCCCATATTCGTACTGACGGTGTCCCATACTCGTCCTGACGGTGTGCCATATTCGTACTGACGGTGTTCATTATTCGTACTGACTGTGTGCCATATTCGTACTGACGGTGTCCCATATTCGTACTGACGGTGTCCCATATTTGTACTGACGGTGTCCCATACTCGTCCTGACGGTGTCCCATACTCGTTCTGACGGTGTGCCATATTCGTACTGACGGTGTTCCATATTCGTACTAATGGTGTGCCATATTTGTACTGACGGTGTTCCATATTCGTACTGACTGTGTTCCATTATTCGTACTGACGGTGTCCCATATTCGTACTGACGGTGTTCCATATTCGTACTGACGGTGTCCCATACTCGTACTGATGGTGTTCCATATTCGTACTGACTGTGTGCCATATTCGTACTGACGGTGTTCCATATTCGTACTGACGGCGTTCCATATTCGTACTGACGGTGTTCCATATTCGTACTGACGGTGTGCCATATTCGTACTGACAGTGTCTCATATTCGTACTGACAGTGTTCCTCATTTGTCCATACGGTGCCCCCTATTTGCGCAATATTTGTCCCCTCTTTGTCCAAATTTGTCCCGACGACAATGTCCCTTACTTGACCAAACGATGTCCAATACTTAATAAGATGGCGTCCACTATTTTACTCAAATATGTCTTATACATACCTGACCTGTGTGTATAATACTTGACACGATATATGACCTCGTCATGTATGACAACTGCCTGGTGAGACTGGATCGGACTGTTGTGACATGATTCATTTCAGGCACCTGTCATGATTTTAGATGTATTTAGTGTTAACTTGCGCTTTCCGTTGAATTTATCGTTTCATTTTGGAATTCATTTTTGCTGAGCGCTGTTTATAACATATATTAGCATTCTTTTTAACAAAGCCTTATCTTCAAAATTAAAACAGCTTAATAAATCTCAAAGTTTAGTTCAAGTGACTAAATGTATTATGTGCAGATGTCCACGTAGGTTCGCTTAATATTGCAATTGGTATCCGACGTTATCACATCTATTATGAAGTCATAATATATTGTAATGATAATGTCGATAAGTTGGCCATTAATGACATTTATTGCTGATATGATTGCCATGTGGATTTGATAAAATTATTATATAATAACAATGTCAAAAATGATCGATATTCTCTAATACGTCTCCTTGGTTTATTGTATGATCATTTAGCAGCGACCTTTAGCAAAGGTCTTGCTCTCGTATATCGGCGTTGAAGTAAACATATACGGATATTGTTTAATATTATATCTGTGTTTTGGGAATCTTGCTAGATAGTTTGTTTTTAGTGAGCCTTCGGGAAGATAAAGTGACTTTTTTCATAAAATATACATTAACATATATGATATGTAATCAACAGTGTGCATCCATAGGCGTGAATGGCCGTCATCTGTATTTATGTATGACGTCATGATTGCCATCCTGTGTCTTCCAGCAATCTTGTCAGTTTCAATTTCTTGATGACAATGGAATCCCGCGGTTCCCCTTTAGGTAGCTTAACTGACATCTCACTGGCGAAAATTACGAGCAAAGTATGATAAGTTTACTTCGATCGACCTTTCTTCATCCGTCGTCTTTTTACTTTTCTGAAAACAATGAAACATTGACTTAATAATAACTTCGTCATGTTGATACGGGTTCTAGGATTGAAGTAAGATTATGACGTAACAAGGGACAAAACAACTACAAAATCATCACATTCGGCCTCCTTTCTCAACCTTTCTTTTATTAATATTTTTTCTCGATCAAATTATTATATAGATATGCATGTTTTTGTTAAGCACACGATAGCAAAATAAGATCCTTACAGAGAAATAGACCTGCAGAGGTTCGGGGAAAGAGTGCACCTCCTGTATCCCAAATGATGATCGTAAGGATCGATTAATGTGGGCCTTGCTGACTCGGGCGTTTCGTTATGTTCTTAGCCGTCCTCTGCTCCCATTGTAATATTTCGAATCTCTATCTTTTTCTCATTTCGGTCGTTCGGCGAGGTCTTCCTGGATACCAGCCGTTGTAGGATCTTAGCCGTTGCTACTGCTATTTCAATCGCATGGTCGACAACACACACATATATACACACACGTCTCCTAATCGGATCTACATACTTACTCAGATATGGGTTCAAACGTTTATTTTTAATTTCATCTTAGATAAATCTCCCGGTTTCTCCGACAGAATCATGGGGTGAGGTCAATAAAATAGCTCAAACAGGTCTGGCTGATATACAGGAGTTGTGTATGTAAAGGTGGACTATTCTTCAACTTGGTGATACAGGCGACAAACACATGCGAATGTATGTTAGACGTCTGATGTGCAGGCGTTCTGTCTCGAATAGAACGTTATACAGATATGCTGTATAATTGACAACTATGACGACATTTACGACAATCTGTGTCCATAGTTGGCAGGGGTCAAGGATAGAACCCATAGCATACTGAATCATTGATGTTTTTTTCATTGAGATTTAAATATCTCTTTGATTTGCCTCGATTATCTTTATATCCATTTTTGTTTTCAAGATTGCAATAATATGAAAAAAATAATCTGCCAACATTGAACTGATATTTTTTTTAATTTTAACAATATTGATTAAAATTGGTTTTTTTTTCCTTCTTTTCAACAGAAATATTAAATTAATGAAGGAAGTCAAAAGTATCATTCAATCCAACAAATTGAGCTCACGTTTATTGACTAGTCATTCGGATGCATCATGGGATTGCTGTGCCATTGTCAGGGGTCAAACTCGTGGGTTTTCTTGATAGGGGGCGCTGAGATACTAGACCGTATTTTATAAGTTGAAAAGGCTGGTATCATTTCATTGTTATCATCAGTCCATTTTAACACACATTCCAGTAGAGGAGTTCTCTGACAACTTCTTACCAAACGTTGTTAGTTCCCGTAGAATTTGAGAACAGATAATATGTGTTTTTTTCTTACTCTTCTACTTTTGCATGTTCGAGGTTGGAAAACCAAGTCATGCTGATTTCCATTGCATGATTGTAAGGGACAATTGGTTTCGAATGGCTTGTCTTTAAATGACCTAACCTGTTGACAAGACGTTGCCCCGAACATCATTCCCTGCATTACCCCCTTCAACCCCCCCCCCCCCCCCCCCCCCAACAAAAAAAGTAAAATAAAATGAAT